CAAGCCATGCCCACAGAATCAGTAGTAAAAAAAATTTGAATCCCACCACTAGCATGCCATTGAAACTCAGTCAGACTAGTTTATTCTTCAGTGTGTTAAGCAGCTATAGAAAGCTAGATAAATAAACTTAATTACAGATAAGCTACAGGATATAATAGAGTCTTCAACTTAAAACAGTTTTAGTGACTGGAGTTAGGGTTAGGCACTTTAAAAAGGGAGCTTACGTTTTTTCACAAGACCATTGCAGCATTCCCATGGTCACATGATCAAAATTTGGATACTTAACTGCTTCACATTTAGGATGGTGGCAATGTCCGGGGGTCATGTGATCACCTTTTGTGACTTTCTGAGAAGCAAAGTGAATGGGGAAGCCAATTTCATTTAATAACTGTGTTACTAACTTAACAACAGCAGTGATTCACTTAACAACTGTAATAAGAAAAACTGTAAAATGAGACAAAACTCATAACAAATGTTTCACTTAGCAATAGGAATTTAGGGTCAATTAGTCATTAAGTCAAGGACTACCTATGCAGTCAGTCTTTTAATTTCACTTCTTTCTAAAGTTTAGATCAAAAACTTTTATATTCTAGACAATTACATTTTATAAATGCCTGTATTCACTTAATATGTTTAACCAGTTTGTCAGCGTGATCGTGAACCTTGTAACTCAGTAATTTCTGGGTCAAGATAACTGAGTAAACAGAGAGTATTCAAGGTAATGATAAATTAACAAACCATACCTAGGAATTCTCATGTTATCCAAACCTGAGGCCAACCCTTTCTTCTACCTTGAAAATAAAGAACTTAAAAAGTACACTAAAAGAATTGGGCTACTCTAACTGCACCACTTTTGAGAGATCTTTTTCCTTTTCACTGCCTATTAGAATTTATAGGGGCAAAAAGGGTGGGGGGGAAAACCTATCCTATTTGCGATGGCTCAGTCACAGATTAGCCCACCGTAGATTTTTGTCAATTATTGTTTTTTTTTAAATGATAGCTAACCAATACTAAGCCTACTGGAAATTTTGAACACCTGAATTAAACAAAAGCTTATTGTAGTTGATCTGATAGATTAACACGTTTTAAGGGCCTTGAAACCCACAAAACCAACAAGATTGGGTGGAATCATTCTGAAATATTAAAAAACATTAGGTCAGCTTATTGCTGTGGCACACAGAAAAGAACTGAGATGATTTCCTGAGGCTGCTGTTACATAGGAAATGCTACTATCTATTCTATACTGTGTTCCCAGTAAAATCTTTTTAAACTCTGGACTATTCCAACCTGCACAATAGAACCAATATGTATGAATCATGTGTAGAAGTTATGTGAACCAAGAGAATTAGATTAATTAAGTCAACATGATTGTTAACTATGGGTGTGTAATGCAGCCAAAGTAAAACAGAACAGAAGAGCATTTTGTTCTCTGCCTCAGGCAAAACCTCTTAGGCTCATCCAGCAAGTCAGGTAAGTTTAGAATTTACAGGAAATGGGCTCTTCATGATCAGCTCATTAATACTGTATATTTTTTTTCAGAAATATATATTTTAAAACTTTATTCTCCATCTGGCACAGATGTATAAATAGTGCATAGCCATGTATTTTATAGATGTTTAAATTATGTTTATCCCTTTATTATTTTTGTATAAATAACTCAGGGTAATGAATATATCAAATAGTCCTTCCTTCTCCTATTGTCCTCACAACAACAACCCTGTGAGGCAAACTGAACTGAGAGAGACTGACTGGCCCAAAGTAACCCAGGTGATTTGCATGCTTTAAGGCAAGACCAGAATTCACATTTCCTGGTTTCTAGCCTGGTACCTTAACCACTAGACCAAGCTGTCTCTTTATGTTGCTTCTTTGTGGAGTAGCATGCACGGCTCATCACTAAATTTGCTTATTTACCTCCCCCAAATCCTTTTTTTCTTTTCTTTTTGTTGTGTATTTTGCTATATTTTCTTGAAAACAGATATTCTTAAATTTAAATCAATCTTCCCATAAGAGGCCGAACGAATTTACAAATATATCCTGTGCAATGCACTATTTATATCAGCTAAACCTAAGGTTACCAGCTCCAGCCCCATTTTTTTCTATCAATCAGTATGTAAATGTTTGTGTATGCGTACATTTATGACTTACCTTTAAACTTGTCAGGCATGAAAGATCAGGACCACACGTGAAATACTTTTAACTGATTTACTGCTAATTATCCCTATACACAGGAATCTTATCAATTAACTTGTAGTTAGATAAGGGTCAATAGACTGATCCTTCTTTTAACTCTGTCCCTAGGTTCTGCCATTGTTTTTCCTACAAAGCTGGTAGGATGTAGTCCTACAGATAGAGAGCATACCTGGTGGTACATGAACATTTTGGAATAAAACTGATTGTGTTTATGGTATGATGGCCACAAGATCGAAATGTCTCCAAATTGACAAATGTTGTCCTCATGAATGTGACATGGTAATTTAGGATAAAAGTCTGGATTAATAAAGCCATGATGGGTAGGTAGTTAAAGCAGTATCTACGGTCCTATTTGCTGATGAAGATAGTAAATGAAAGACTGGTATTTGGAAGAGGAATAAATAGGAAAAGCATAAATTAATGGGAAAAAAGCTAAAGAAATGTAGGTATGTGACTTATGTGTGATTGCATATAAAACTGACTAATAGAAAAAATGCCATTATTCTATACAAAAAGAAAGAGAGTAAATGTGAATGCAAAATATAGAGGGAATGGTTTGTTAAATGTGTTTGGGGAAGTGTTTGAGTTGTAATAGTAACAAGAGGTGAAAACAAGCAACATTTAGAATGCTCAGTGGGGTTTATGGAGATTCTCACCATATTTTCTTGAAAAGCAGATACATTTAAAACAATTTCCCACCAGAAGGACTAGACAAAATTAATAATGTGCCCAATAATTATGTGCAATGAACCATTTTCATCTCTTCTCAATGTAGTGTTACCAATTATAGCTGAAATCACTTGTATTTTTTTTACAATCTCAAGCAGAGGCTTCAGAGCTGATCAAATTTTTATCTCTGAACATTTGTGAAATACATGGATATAAGAAAGAAAAATGTCTGTATGATTATTGATTTATAAAAAAGTAAAAAGCGAATAGGCCTGGATTGTGAAACATTTTGCACAAATAGGGAACGTAAGTTTGACTACTAAACACAGTGATAGATATCTATTATGATAGTAAAGTATGTGTAAGAATAAATAGAATATCAGCTTGCTGGAAGGGAAATTTTGGGAATTGAGAATCTGACATGTTAAGGTGCTAAGGTTGAAAAACACTGGCTTAGAGAATAAGGCAACATCTCCTTGGTTGTTTATTTATGGATAAACATGTAAGAAACACTGGTTATTCTTAGAGCTATTTGATTGAGGATATACTACCATAGTAATATGTGATCTATTGTGAAGAATGAATGTTTGTCAAAGAAGCAAAAATGGCTGTGAATGTCTACTTTGGAAATGAGAATTGGGCATGTCAAGAAAAATGTACAGGCAATCTAAACAATCTTGGACTTGATTATATAAGAATGTATTAAAAGAAGAAAAATAGGGGAAGATGGTATTGAATACAAAAGTGAATGACCAGCATGAAAAATATGTAAGATGGTTTGGTTATATAGTGAATAAATATAAATCACAAAATAAATAATAAGAAAGAGTGCATGGCTTTAAAAGGAAGGGAAAGACTGACAAAGTTAGATGGAGTTAACAGTCTCAAAAAGGAAATAAAAATTTGATGTGGTAGAAGCAAAGATGCTTTACAAAGATAGAAGGGTATGGAAAAGTAGAGGAGTGTTGGTCTGATTAGGTGTATAATATTCTGTCTTATTTTTTCTTATTTATGTGTTTCATTTTTCTGATTTCATATGTATTATTCCTTTACAGTGTTATGAAAATGCTGCTTATTTCAAAAGGAATACAGTAGCATGATAGCAGAGGCAAAGAGAAAAGGAGAGTCTTTTTGTGAGCAAATTTAAACATATCAGAAAAAATAGCAGCTGAAGAAATAAAGATACTAGTAGAACTCACAAATAAGCTGTTAAGCAGAGATTCTAGAGAAGATATATAAAATCTGGAGCCCCAAGGCTACAGCCCACAAACACTTTTGGTGCAATTAACGAAGCCCTCAGATATTATGAAGAAAGTGTATTTTTTAATGTGATAAAAGAGGAAAATAAAAAGGTATGACTTAAAAATATCCACTTTGACTAACAGTATAACTGGTTAAATATAAAGGCGATTTGGATAGCAATATAGTGCTAAAAATTAAAACTATAGAAAAGTTTGAAATGCTTACAATATGCACAATAATTTCAAAACCTTTATCTTTAAAAAAGATACAGATGCAAAAGGGAAACACAATTCCAACAAATCTAAAACCCAGAATACCCAAATATGAAATGTTTGACTGTGCACAATTTTAATGCATCAGTCACTAATTCAGTAATTCTTTACTGAATATGTAACAAGTAATAAATTTATTATAAATTGGCACTGAGTTATTTAAAATGGTAATTTAATCACATGGCTGTGTAAAACAATATATAACTGATATGTTTATATATGTTCAAAGAAAAATTAAAATTTGAATCATGTTATAATAGCAATAGCACTTAGCCTTTTTACCACTTCACAGTGCTTTACAGCCCTCTCTAAGCGATTTACAGAGTCAGTATATTGCCCCCAACAGTCTGGGTCCTCATAAATGAATAATAATAAATGAATGAATAAATAAACTAGCCAGTAGGGGGCAGACAATTCACAACATAAATGCTACATTTAAAATAGAAAAAATGGAACTGGCTTGAGTAATGCTTTAAAAAGATTTAACCTTTGGGACAAGAACATAATTCAAATGATGAATTTCTTTGGAAATAACAGTGTGATATGAGCTTTCTACAAAAACAATTAACAATGGCTCCAGTGCTATAAGTAAAAAATTCTTCCAGTAATTGTTTTTCCCTATTTAGGATTGGTGGTAAATGCAGGAAGGTTGAAACAGAACATAAAATCATTCAGATGCTTGCTTCCAGTCTAAAATGCAAGAGAAAAAAACTATACCACATCAGCCTTCCTCTATGTAAATCACAACTATCATCACTGCAGTTGATATGCAAAAGCTAGCATTTAATTACCACTTATTATGATTTCATGTTGAAGGTCAGTCCAGAGTTCTTTTGTGTACATTGTAGTCTGGATACAGCCAATCCAATCAAAGTTACTGCGGATACCAAAGCTCACCAGTCATTAAAAATTATCTTTATTGCAATCATTCATTTATTTTTTACAAATGCAATTTGAAATCAATTGCATCAATAGATCAAGATATATAGACAATAAAAATGTGTGCTGCTTCCTGATTAAACTTTTGACACATCTCAAACGTTTACAAGCCAGTAATTAAACAAGACTATATGTTTAATAAATAATAACATCTGGTCCAGTTCAAGTATCCATCAATACATCAAACTTGATACAGAAACCCTGAAAGCCTAATACTGTTTTATGAATTGCAGTCAGTAAAAAAATTGTCAAGTTTTATGCTTCAGGGTTTAGATTCCTTAGTTTTAAAACTAAAGGTATGTGATATGAAACCATAAAAAGTAATAGGCTGAAACAAGTAAGATGTTGCAAGACCTAAATATTTTAAAATTGTTCAAATATTTTGCAATTGTTTATAAATAAGCTTTATACATATTTATAATAAAGTCTTTGGATTCTCTTCAAACTACCTTGTGCATGCTCCCCCCTCTCATAAATACAATTATAAAGAATAAGGTAGGGTTTTAAAAAGCAAGTGTTTTTAAAATTTCAGGTTTTTAGTGTAACAATTCCAAAGCAAGATTGCCATTTGGGTTGCATAAGCAATCCCGTATCTTTCTATCTTCTGCTGCTGGAATATGTATTCTTCACTGTCTGTAAGATTATTTTCACTAAGATCTACGTTAAAACAATAAATATAGTTATGTTCCCCCTACAGACCAACTGTGCCTTTTATGTAATACCAGAAGTAAAGATATATTAATTTTCCTTGTTATTACCTTATTTTAATAATTTTGTCAGCTGCCTCAGACAGTTTTAAACTTAAACTTGGGATAAAATGTTTTAACTGACCAATGTTACTGAAATAGAAGAAATGTGGTATATGCTTCAAGAATATGCCTGCCTTTATTTTACAAAGTCAAGCCAAAGGCTAGGATCTCAAAACTTCTCATTAAACTTCTCATTAATTAAAGCTGAGACAGGAATGTGGATATTTAATGAATTCTTTAATGGCACAGACTTATTAAAACATTGGTTCCTCTGACTTGCAACTAAAAGGATGATACTAAAGCAGGTAATAAACTCAGATTTTAACTGGGAGATCTTGAAACTAAAGATTTTTTTTAAGTACCCCAAAATATAAGATTTCATGGGATAATTAGAAGTAGCAAATGGTAGAAATATGTTCTGTAAATTTTTACACTACCTAAACAAGGCTCTAGAGCAATTATACTTGCTCTTGCAATATGGTTCAGGAACGTTATCTAGTATATTTTATAGTAACTTTTTATGATGGCAATTAGCAGCAGTTATTATATCCACTTATGCAAATAAATACGTGCTTTATTTAGTGAAATCTGTATGAACTTTTCACACACATATAAAGTATTGCACAGCTATATAATTAATGTAAAATTTATGAACATTAAACTTTAAGTCAGTTCTAATGAGGACTGTAATATTTAGTTGATTCATATCAGAACATTTGATTTGTTAAAATATGTTTGATTTACTGAACTAATTAAAAATCTGTGTTATGTATGTGCCAGTCCCACCATGGCACTTACAGCAGCATAGATAGGCTTTTGAACAGCTTCTCATCTAGAAATACTATTATATTCCTGTGCAAATATATTAGGATTTAGCAAATGATGGCTTTAAAAGAAATGAGCTTTAAGAAACATGGAAGAAAGTAGAAAAAAGACTAGCAGGGAAAACACAAGTCATAGTATGCTAGACTTATAGAAAGTTAGAGTTGTATATATGTTCACGAATTGAAACAGAAGAGTTTCTTTAATTCTGTCCATTTCAGTACAAATTAAAACGCTCTTTGAAAATATATATCATAAACTACCTTATACCTGTCAAGGACAGCGTTGCCCAAAAGAAACAGTATTATCAGCAGTAACATAATATATTAACTGTACTGGTAGTCCTTGACTTACAACTAGTTTAGACCAGAATATCCATTGCTAATACTAACCAAGTGGCTTATGTCCGATTTTACAACCTTTTTGGTCATGAATGTTAACCGAATCACTGCAGTTAAGTGAGTCATGTGGTCGTTAAGTGAATCTAGCTTCCCCCATTGACTTTGCTTGTTGGAAGCTGGCTAGAAAAGTCACAAATGGGATCTCGTGATCAAGGATGCTGCAACTGTAATAAACACATGCCAGTTGCCAAGCATCTGAATTTTTCACATAACCATGCAATGCTATGATGGTTATAAGTCTGAAGACCAGTCATAAGTCACTTTTTTCAGTGCCATTCAGTGACTTTGAATAGTCACAAATGAATGGTTGTAGGTCAAGGACCACCTGTAATGTAATGTAAGCTGTATTATATTACTGAGCATGATCATTGAACAAAACTACTAATTCAGATCATTTCTTTTTCAGATAAGCTTCATTCATGGACCAATTGAGATTGTAACACAAGTAACATGGAGGAAATTCCTGAGAATTCTGATTTCAAGAGAACAGTATCCATTATGGAGAGATGGATGCTATTATTTATAGATATGTCACTTGTGCTTTATTATATTGCAGGATTATATTTTTAATGGTGCTTTCAGTGTGACTGCCAGAAAAAGTTAATTATGATTTAATTTCAAAGTGCAAGCTAAAGGTACATTATTGAGAATAGCAAACAAATAAGCAAGTTTCCAATTTGATTTTTAAAAAAATCAGTGTTTTTTCTCCTCAGAGTGTGGGACAATCTCTGTATCATCTTGGGCTGAGCTGTTTTCTTTTTCATTCATCTTCAGATTCTCTTCTGCAAGTTGTGATAGGTATTTCTATGTGGGACAAAGAAACTGCTTTTAAAGTAATGAACAATTAAATTGTCTAAAATACACTATGTATTTCCATATAAGCATTTAATATTTGCCAAAGGATCAAAAAAGAAGTAGAAATCTAATAATTAGTCCCAGTACCAGCATCATTATACATGTATCAACTCACCTCAGCTTCTCTTCTTTGCCAATCTCACTTGATTTATTCTTTAACCAATGATGTTATGGTTAGCATGTGCGGATAAGTTTAACACAATGAAGATGGCAAGTGGCATCTGTGATGTTTAACTTAACAATTGTGGCAAAAAAAACTTTGTAAAAATTGAGTGCAGTCACATGATGCTTCACTTAACAACTGTATCACTTTATGACAAATTTTGCAATCCCAATTATAGTGATAAATTGAGGACTATCTATAACCTTTCGTGCTGAAAGCAGCCCCAAATCTATAGTGAACAGAAAGAATTTTATCTGATTTTCTGAAAGTTCCCAACTCACTTATAATTTAAATTGCTGATCAAAAGAAAAGCAACAACCATATATGGGCCATTATATAGTATCAACCTTTTTATTTTTAGTATGATCCCTTCTCACCATTCAGAAACTACTCAATCCTAGTGTTTACTTGCTTATTCATTTGTTTATCTGTTTATTGAATGTATATGGCCTGATTCCTCTGTGACTCTTGATAGTATACAATATTAAAACAATTCCAAAGTACAAACAAAATAACAACAGATGTTTGGGGAGGGAAATGTCAGCCTCCAAACAGAGCCACATAACACCCAAGGGACTGGGTGCTCACTCTAGCCTAATGCCTGGGAGCAGAGCCAGGTTTTGAAGACTCTTAAAGCAAGGTTTGGGTGTGAGCCAAATGGCAGGGCCATACTACTGATGCAAAGTAGGGCCTTTGGAACAACTGTGTATTTAAGTAGAAGTTAAATTCAGTAGACATGCATACATGCACAACACACACACATACAAGAAGCTGATACTCTTAGTCCTACTTATAAAGAAGCCCTGCCGAAGCAATGCCGCTTACTTCACACTCTTAAAAACAGATTCATCTGTTGCTTAGGTTTACTAAAACCATTAATATGTCCAGTTCTTAATAAGCAAGTGCACATTTATCCAGCTATGTAAAACTGCTTTGTTCTTAGATTTAGTAGCTATGCTAAAGGAACACCAGGAATCCTAAAGGCAAGCCTTTCACCTGTTCCCATCTCCTTTTTCATTTAAGCTTGTGCATAACTTATTACTATGCTGTGTACATCATCTCACTTCTTGCTCTAACGAAAGGTCAAGGTATGGTGACAATCTTCTCTTGATCTCTAATGATATGATGTGTACAAATTCTTCAGACGTGCAACTAGAGAATTAGACTGAAGTATTTTAGCATTTAGCTTAGTGCTTCCTGACCTACATTCTACAAAACTTTCAGAGAGATGGAGGGTTAAGAAATATTAAATATAAATATAAATAAACAGCTCTGTTCCCCAAATAGTGTAAATGCATTATGTGAGTTGTCTGGATCAGTTGTCACCAACTGGTGGGCCACGGACTGCTGGTGGTCTGTGAGAAAATGTTGGTGGTCCGCAGCGCACCTGTGTCTGCAACAGGGGTATTACCAGCAGCGGATAGACTGATGCTTGCAGGGAGGGAGGGTAGTGCACGGGAGACCACGGTATCGGAGCCCTTCCTGGTTGTTCCCTGGCCTGCGATGGGGTGGGGGTGAAGGAACCTCTGAACTGTTGATGGGTGATGGGAATCTGATGTTTGGAGGCCAACAAGCCACGTGCTGAAGACCAGATGGCTGGCGGGGAGGTGGGGCAATCCTGTAATCTCCCTAGCAAACTTGTGTTGTGGCTCCTGCCTCCGTGCATCAAGGAGGGCGAGCAGCAGTGGGAAGACCGCGGACCTCCTAAGCTGCAGGAACAGCTACCAGCAATGCCCTCAGGTAAAGATGTTGCAAGGGGGAGGCTCAACCCCTCCTTCAGGAGCCACAAAGCACTCGCCACCCCTCTGGTACCTGCCAAGCCTCCTCCCACCGCGCTTCTCTTTCTCCTTGCCACAAGTGCTCACAAGCCCAGAGGGAAGGAGGAGGCTTGGCAGGTGCCCAAGGGGCGGTAATCACTTTGTGGCTCCTAAGGGAAGGGTTCAAGCCCCCCCTTGCAACATCTTCACCTAAGGGCATTGCTGGCAGCCGCTCAATCTCCTTGATGCGTGGAGGCAGGAGGTAACACCAGTTCAGAGATTCCTTTCCCCCACCCACCTCCCCTCGCAGGCCAGGGAACACCCAGGAAGGGCTTTGATGCCATGATCTCCCATGTACCGCCGGTATCACCCCTGTTGCCCCACCTTCCCGCCAGTTGGTCTTCAGCTTGTGGCTTGTCGGCCTCCGGACATCCGATTCCCATCACCCATCAACAGTTCAGAGGTTCTTTCCCCCCACCCCGGGAACAGAGAGAGGTGGGGAAGAGAGAGAAAGAGGGAGAAAGAGAGAGAGAGAATGAGGGAAAGACATATATAGATCCTGGTCTTTTGTTTTCTGTGGGAAATGGGTCCAAATGACTCTTTGATATTTAAGGTTGCAGAAACAGGCAGCCAAGCTAAGTGCCTGAAGGACCCCATCCCATCAGTGGAGTCCAGGAGCTTCAGCAAGCAGCATGCTGGATTTATATTAGTGATCCGTGGGATTTAAAATTATGAGTTGATGGTTTCTGAGGTCCAAAAGGTTGGTGACCCCTGGTCTGTGTTAGATCGGTGGATCGGGTCACAGAAGAGGCGAGACGCTTAAGTGAACATTCAGCTCTTTATTGTTGTTCAGGAATCAGGACAGGGAAAGTGTGCGAGCCGCCCGGCTTTATACAGCCGGCCGGCGGCTCGGCGGCCAATGGCAGCGTGTTGAATCTCCCGCGATCGGCTCGGCCAATCGCGGTAGATTCTTAACACTCCAATCACGGGCGTTCAGTCAACCAATCAGGTTTCGGTCCGGTTGGACCAATCAGGGTGCGCGCCTTCGAGAATGCTAATACAGAACAGTCTGGATCTACTCAGCTTTCATATAACCAAACAAGCACCTACTATGAATGACTAGAACATTTTGGAACCCCCCTCCAAACATTCTGAAATAACTGGGAAAAATAATTGTCAATATAGAGTGTATGCTTTTAAGTGAAAAGGCATTGGGAATCCTACTACCTTTTCTCCAGCATTGTAAAAGAGAGTTTTCAGCACTCACTATAATAGAGATCAAATAATGAAACAGACTCAGTGTCAAACTGATTCTAAAATTCACAAATGTTATTCCAGAAGCCACATACCAATGTATGCCATTCTTATACACACACTCCTTTTTTTAAGTTGAAGGGTAAAAGGGAAAAAGTGTATTATTAAACCATGTTTCATTTTAATGTTCCTTTCGTTGACCATCTGATTGAAACAGGTAAGTAGGTATTTCTTATAAAGGGCAGTTTTTTAATACAAATTGCTTGACGGACTTGCAAAGTTTAAGAAACATGGTTCTAATTAGTTCATTTTAGATTTAACTGAGAATTATGGCATGTCCACCATTCTCATAACATACGGAAATGATAATATGAGCTTCAATATGCCAGGAAAAGTACATTTGAAAGTGCAAAAAATATTTTTGTCTTCTTTCTGCTAGCTTCACTTTTTAAAATTTTACGTCTTTTATCCCAAACATAATTTGTTCAGAATAAGAGAGTTGGAAGGGATCTTGAAGTTCTTGTAGTCCAACTCCCTGCTCAAGCAGGAATCCCTGTACCATTTTTCTTCTTAAAAACCTCCATGTTGGAGCACCCCCAACTTCTGGAGGTAAGTTGTTCAAAACAGAAAAATACAATGCCAAATAATAATATCAATGTATTACTAAAGCTCTTGTATCTGATTGTTTAGAGAACATTCATTTGGGGGAAAACAGTGCATCATAAGACAACAATTTTTGAATCAACGAATCTCAAATGGATTGACTTAACTTTTGCGTCAAAAATTTGGAACCCATAACTCCTGTTGGATTGAAATTTGGAAAAGTCGTGTCTGCTTCAGTGATGTGTTGTCATTTCCAATACTCCCTGCCAGATTCCCACATGTCAGTGGGGAAGGCAGCAGGAAGTTGCTAGTCTAAGGATAGTATGCAAATAAATGGCTGCTGCCAGGTGAGACAGGGAGGGAGTGGGTAAGAGAGAGACATGACAAGGGTTCAGGAGAGTGCACAGAAGCTCATGAGAGGCATGGTACAGCACAGGTCAGGGAAGATGCTTGAGGGCATAGGTTGGGGAGGATGCCCAAGAGATATGACAAAGGTCACAGAGGATCTGTGAGGATGGAGCACAGATTGGGGAGGATACATGAGGGTATGGGTCAGGGAGAATGTGCAGGAATATGAGTGAGGCAGGGCAAGAGTCAGGAAAAGCATGTGGGGATAGTAGTAATAATAATAGTAGGAAAAGAAATAACTCTGAAATGATGTCCTAACATCAAGTTAGTTAGTTTTTAATGCCCATTTAAGAAAAAAAGTGAAGACAATCTACAAAGTTTACTGCTATAGTTATGAATTCAAGTAAAAGTAATATTTGGATCTCTGAAGCTGAATTTAGAAAATGCAAAGTTGGCTACTTCTATTGCTAGATCTATTACATATAGACGGGGATTGACTGAAAGATTGGTTTTAAGCAGCATACGAAGCTTCTTGTTACAAGAAGGTATTATATTAAAAGCTATATTTCACTATGAAAATATAAGTTTTACTTCACTGTCTCTCACTGAATGAAACAGTGATGATCTTCAGTCTTCGTTCTGATGTTTCCTTAACCAATTCAGACAGGTACAATCATGCCTTGAGACTGAACAGTATTTTTTATGGTTGAGCAGCTGCAACCAATTTGGTGCTTCATAGTATTAATCTGCTGGATACCAGTCATATTGCCTTTTCCTGGAATGTCTTTGGGGCTTTTATTTTTATATTATTTAGTAAATGATGCAGTATATCATAGTTATCATTTTCTTCCATAAAAGATTTGATATTGACTTTGGTATTTAACTACCTAACCTGTAAACACTTAAAAAGTGTGTATGCTACTGAAGTAATATAATTTATATCCTATTTCATGCAGTTTTCTGTTCTACTATAGTGGAGTGCACTTTCTGAAATATTCTTTCTCATCTACCACTACTATGATAAAAATTGGTCTTGGAAGGGAAACACAACACTGCAATGAAGAACAATGATGATGCATGTACCACAGGAGAATACATATTCAGGCTAAAGATCTAAAGATCTTGCATATGCTATCAGTCGTTTGGATAATTTAATAATCTGAATGAAATAATAATTTGTTACCTGCAGATTTTTATAGTGAACAGTACTTCTACAATGATGAATTTTTGCTGCATCTTCATTTGTGTAGAAAAGTCCACAAAGTTTGCAGTAGTAGCCAGTTCTGGGAACAACAAATTCTACACCTATAAAAAAATATTATAATGATTAGGAATACATTTTAAAAAACATGCATAGGAGAGAAAATGTTGAATTCACCTTGTCAATTTGAATCTAATGAACTACATATAGTCCTTGACTTACAACAGTTCATTTAGTGACCATTCAAAGTTACAATGGCTGCTGAAAAAAGGGATTTATGACCTTTTATCACACACAACATTGCAGTATCCCTGTAGTCACGTGATCAAATTTCAGATGCTTGACAACTGGTTCATATTTATGACCATTGCTGTGTTCTAGGGTCATGTAATCCCCTTTTGCAAACTTCTGACAACCAAAGTCAATGAGGAAACCAGATTCACTTAACAGCCGTGTTACTAAATTAACAGCTGCAGTGGCAAGAAAGGTCATAAAATGGAGCAAAAATCACTTAACAAATGTTTCATTTAGCAACATAAATGTTGCGCTCAATTCTGCTCATAAGTTGAGGATTACAATTTAACAGATAGCTTAATAGCATTCTTTATGTTTCTACTTCTAGTTATTCCAATGAGTAAATGTATTATCTACCTAATTATTTTCACCTTGCGATTATTACATTTTAAATTCAACACAGAACATTTGAGTCATTTACATCAATAAAAAACTATAGAAATATGTAAATATTGTTATTTTTTTATGTGACCAATTTTTTAAAATTGGAGGAAGAAGATTCCACCAGATCTACCAGATCTGCATTACTTTAAAAAAGGATATGGATAAAGTATATTAGCTCTTTTCATTCCTTGTCTATTTTTCCTTCCTTTTAGAGAAAAGAGGGTTTTAAATCCAAATGTTAAAAGGAAGGCTTACAGTTGATAATAACCTAAATTTATTCTCTGTTTCTAAAGAATGGCAGGGGGGAAAAAAAGTGAGAAATTCCATTTCCTTTCCTTCTGGGATTCTTTCTCTTTTATAGTAGCTCTGACCTAGGGAAACAGATGGAAATGCAGCAGTTAAATAATCAGTCAAACCCATGGTTAACATTTTAAAGTGAGTGTTCATATTTTTCTCTCCTTTTGGTTTCTGTACTGAAATTCCTTAAAAGTTTGTTCTTGTCTTGGGCTTCTGGTATTTTGTCTGGAGCTAATAATAAAATCCAGTCAGCACCATTCACTCATACTCATTTAATCCTGTTTACTAGCAATGGTATTTCTAATTAAATTTTTAACATTTCAATTAAAATTTGTAATATGCAGAAAGTTGGCCTTCTCATATATCTTCTCCTTGATTATCACGATTTCCATATATGATATCAGTATTATCATTATCATCATTATCCATTCTAACAGTTAAGCAGAAAGATTTATTTATATTTTGTTTATTCATTCACTTGCAGCAGGCTGTTTCCCTAAATTTATGTAGCAAGAATCAACTGATTTCTCTCAGTTTCATTAAAGAAAAGTGGTCCATGTTGTTGTCATCACTCATCTTGATTAAGGAAACCTAATTCTGTTCAGAACCGGATACATGACATTATATATTGAAGCAACTGGAAATCTGTGATTTATCAGATTCTGTCTAACCACAGTATTTTCTTGATTCTGGAGTTTGAAATATTGTTCTGAAGATGGAAAATTTCTCTGAATAAACTTAAGATACATTGTTCTGTAAGATAAAGATACTGTAAAAAGTAACATTATATGTGAATCACTTCTAATCAGACAAACCTAGTGGAATGTTGAGCTCCGTAAATACATCATCTTGTTCCCACGATGGTGAAAAATATGACTTTTTTGATTCAACTTCTGGGAAATCAGGAGTTTTTATTTCTGTGTACCTACAAATCGCTTTAAAAACAGAGGAACATTTTGAGTAAAAAGTGTTTCTTCACATATACCTAAGTCTGCAACACCACCTACAAAACATTTTCTAGATCACGCAGGGATTCTTTCATATGATGTTCTCCAAAATTACTATGCATTGTTCCATCTACTTTTTCTAATAATTTAAGTGAAGTTGATAAATTGTTACATTGCAGTATTTTGGAAACTGTAATCTTGCAAATAGCGTAAAGCACAATGGTAAATAAAATATTCTGGAATATTATCCCATTAAATAAAAAGCTCCTATAGAAGGCTATCAAATATTTTCTTGCAAACAAAAATATGAAGCCAAAGCTAAAACATTTTAGGACTGCCCCAACAAAGACACTGTGATAACTCTCCCTGTTGCTTCCCCAGTTATCTCTCCAGATGTCAGGAGGAAGGTGAACAAGTTCCAGACATGTCTGGATACGAGTTGGTTAATGGCTCCAAGCAGCCGTCTGAGGGATTTGGCTCAAGTACAGATGCAGCACGACAGCCCTGAGGCTTCAGATTATGAAAACATGCAATTGCAGCCCGTCAGTAATGAAGAAGAGGAACAGCCTTCTGCACCTATTCCAAGAACACATAAGGGCAGAGAAAAGGTAGGAACAGAGAAGACCAGACAGATTATTTGTGAGGAGAAAGCCTTGCCCTTCTTGATGAGCTGCTCTAGACACTAGCTATTTAGCACAGCAAGCAGATGGAACTGATACTAGAAACAATGTGTTCATTTCCTACCAGTGTGTTTTCTGATCCCTACGAACTTTAAAAAAAAAACAATAAGTCATAAATGAAGAATAATTATTATTCACAATGACACTTCTAAGTAATTTAAGATGGCAATGTTTCAAATTATAAGAATTTAGGTCATAACAAGAAAACTCTTCAAGAATATTTGCTAAACATTTACATAATATTCTTGATAATATTTGATGTGATTTAATGTTGACAATCAGTTTATCAATCTAGCTCATTGCCCAGAAAGTTAAAATTCTTGAGTAACATATAGTTGTACTAAAATATAGTAAATACAGTATATTGCTTATATAAAAATAAGGAAAAGGGTACATCATACTTTGACTCTTCGGCTTTTCCTCACTTCCACAGTTTCTTTCTTCTTGAGATTTTTTTGCCAGGATATCCTTATCTTCATTATTCCTGCTTTCCAGAGTTTCTATCTCTTTATAATTATCTACAAGTGTATCTCTCTGCTGGAAGGGTTCTTCCTTTGGAGGATCTGAAGATATGTACTGCTTCTCCAAGTTTAACTGAATATTAGAACGTTCATCTATTTTTCTGTCATTATGCTGATCTGAATCCTTTTCAGATCTACTTTCATCTGGTTTATCTTCAATATCAATATCAATCAGACGGGTTGCTTTAGTCACTGTACTATCACCTTCAGAGCCACTTACATCTGCATTTTCTTTCTCTGATTCCATGGTGGCTTCCAATATATTAGATTTGTCTTCCCTTGTACTCAGTAAACTGTGTTCATTCTTTACCTCCAATCCAGCAGCTAAGGCAGTCCTTATGGAACATTCTTCTTCTTCCTGACCTACAGTTACTATTTCTTCAAGTTCAGTTATATCGGGTTCCATAATAAGATCATCCTCTCCTACCTCATCAACAGTTACAAGCTCTTCAAGATTGGTTGGATACCAAGTTTCCGCTTCCATTTCACTTCCACTCTCCCAGTCCTGCAGATAAAAGGCAAATTTTATTGGGAAGATGACAATAAGTAAACATGTGGACTGCTTATTACAAATAGTTTTTAAGAATAAATCATGATCACCTCTTTATTACTTATTTGATTTATATCCTTATATTCAGGAGCTCAAGAAGGCACACACAGGCCACCATTTGGATCCTGATTAGTTCCTATACAAGATTTAAATATATATCTATCTAAGGCTGGCTCAATGCCATCTGCTATGGCCTTGACATATTAACTTGTATGAATAACTATAAAAAATGTACATGTATACAATATTACCATTTATCTACATTGACTCCAATGCCATGATAAATAATATTTATTTATATTTACTTATTTATTATCAATAAATATGTATGGATTTATGTAGTGATAGTACTCACATTTTATTTTTTAACAAAAAATTTCAAACCATATAATAAATAAGGGTCCAAAAGTAATAATAGTGAGTATATAGTGCATCAAAACACATCTTCCTAAAATGTAAACAGCATTAAATAAACTTTACAGGCATTTAAATGATATTAATGTACAAGTAGACCAAATTTGGAAGAAAAGGTATTCAATATATAAGTTCATTTTCTCAGGTAGCACCTTCTATCCTGGGGAAAGGTCTCAAGCTATATAGGGAGCATTTTATGTCTACTAACAAACAGAAATATTTTAAAAGTGAGATTTTCCCTCAAGTTCTTTTTTTTCCAAGTTCTTTTTTGTTAAGTGATAAGAAAAAGCTTTGAGGGAGAATTTGGCCTAATATTCAATAACATATTATTTGACAAAAAAAGATAATACTTCTAAAGAATTTCTTATAGATGGTCTTGTCTGCCTGCAGTTCCTGTGCCCTAGTAAAATTTAGTACAGGTAGTCCTCAACTTACAACAGTTCGTTTAGTGACTATTCAAAGTTACAATGGCACTGAAAAAAGGGACATGACCAGTTTTCACACATACGACCATTGTAGCATTCTCATGGTCATGTTATCAAAATTCGGATGCTTGGCAACTGGTTCATATTTCCTGGGATCACGTGATTTCCTTTTGCAACCTTCTGACAAGCGAAGTCAATGGGGAAGCCAGATTTACTTAACAGTTTGATTAATTTAACAGCTAGGGTGATTCACTTAACAACTGTGGCAAGAAAGAGCATAACATAGGACAAACTTACTTAACAAATGTTTCACCTAGAAACAGAAATTTTGGGCTCAATTGTACTTGTAAGTCCAAGGACTATTTGTATTCTTATGTTTATGTAAGTTGTGTTAAGCAGTAACTGAACTGAGAACCATTTATATAAAATCAGGCAAATTTCAATTCCATAGGAATCATAGCCAGAGGTGGTATTCAGCAGGTTCTGACCAGTTCTGAAGAACCGGTAGCGGAAATTTTGAGTAGTTAAGAGAACCAGCAAATATTCTGACTGGAGATTTTACAGTATCATTCCCCTGGCACACCCACCAAGCCACGCCCAGAGAATTGTAGTAACTGTAGTAAAAATATTTGAATCCCACCACTGGTCATAGCCCTGGATTTTTGAAGCATTCTGTAAGTCAGCCCATTTGAGTTATCTTGATTCAAAATGTTTTGTCCTATCATGCACCATTTCACCTAGTTAAAAAATTACAGACAAGACTTCCAGTTTGAAGGGCTTCGGCGACAGACAGAAATCCATGATCGTGCACGGTTTCTGTCTGGGCTCGCCACTGGAGTGCCCCGAGCCAGCTGGTTTCGGGTCTAAGCCACCCCGTAGAGGTGGTGAAGAGTGGCGAGACCGCCAGCAGTGTCGAGGAGAGCCGCATCTCTCCTCCTCAGCTGGCCATTACTCCCTTTCCTGAAGGCGGTTGCAGCGGTGGTCAAAAATGGCCACCACAAAGAAGAACTCAACCGGAAAAGAATGTGCAGGAGGAAGGTAAGAAGTGAAAGTTTTGGCTGACCGGGTTAAATTGTAAAAGCAACAACTAAGGTACCCTGGAATTTAAACTTACAAAAAATAACATTGCTCCCAAAGAAGAGTCGGAAGCAGCGAAGGAAAGTGAAAAGGGAAAGATTTGGCTTTTTTTTTCTTCTCTCTCCTTCCCTATACTGACAACTAAGAGACTTAAATAAGAAATCAGTAAAATCTGCTTTGACATCAATAGGCAATTAAGCTGAAAATAAAACAAAATGCCAAAGGGATAATAAAGATTTCTGGACATTAAAAATTTTCTTTTTCATAAGCAGGAAGGGAGAGAAAAAGAATAAGGGCAGGATCTGGAAGAGGGAGGAGACTGCCTGGAATTAAAAAGAATCTACAGTAAAACTTCAACAAGACTTCTAAAAGATACATTTTAACTGAAACTTTGCAACTAAATAGTAACCCCAGGAAGAGAAAGTGGAAAAAAAGAGCAAAAAAGAAACAGCTTGCGTGTATTTGTATTATTTGGTGATCTTTGGATTCTTGGTTATTATATTTGAATGACTAAAATCAATCAGGTGGTTGTTTAAATATTTATACAATGGCACCACTTCTGGATGAATTGAAAATGGAACTTAAAAAGTACAAAGAAGATGCACAGGAAGGGAAGGGTTCTTTTGGCTTCGTTTTTCAATTCTTTGAAATTGAGATTTGGAACTATGAGAAACAAAAAGAAACGACTGCAAAACAAGAAGACTGAGACAAAGAAGAAGCCATCTTTAATGAACAAGTAATTTTATGTGGGGACGAAAAAGGAAAGGGCGGAAAGAGAATGGAGAATTTAAGACTTAAAAAAACAACCAGAGAAAAGAAAAATAATTTGAAAAATAAGTATAATACTGGAAAGCAACAGAAAAGGGGAATACAGAAGAGAGAAATAGAAGTAGAGGGACAAGTGGGTAAAAAGGGGAGAGAGAAGAAGAGAGGGAAGAAGGAAAGAAAAAGAAGTTACAAAGGACCGGAGCAAGATATAGAGAAAAAGGACCTATTTAGAGATAATGGGTGAAAATCTAACTGAAAAAGGGATTCTGTAAAGGTACATAAGATTGTATTGTTATATTAGTAATAGAAATAACTTTAGAAAATTGGAAACAAGATATGATTAAAATGAGGGATAAAATAGTGTAATTTATTGAAATGTTTGTGAATAAAATAAGTGAATAAAATAAAAATTGAATTAGGAAGGAACGGGAACATTTTAATTATTTAATGTTTTATAAAATATAAGTGAAGAGGGGGGGAATTAACTAGGGAAAGCTTATAGTTGTTCCCATAGAAGTATGATATTTAATTGAAAAGTAATGTTAAAGATGTTAAGATTTTAATGAATATTAATATTAATGATAGAATTGAATTGGAATGGAATGTTGTTTTAATTATATACATTTATATTTTTTTCTTTTTTTAAGAATACAGTGTGTATTTTAAGAATGTACCAAGCAGAATCCGAATGGAAGTTACGTATTATACTGAATGTTACAACTTTAGGGAAAAGAAATAAAGGTGTCATACTCCAATCAGTAACTACAGGAGAAATTTTGTTTAAGGAGAAAAGATAATAGATAATTGAAACAGGACAGACAAAAAATATAAATACAATGATTTGAATTGAGATGAAATAATTAAAATAAAATTGAGAAAATTAAAAGAGGGGAGAAGCCATGCAGAAAATGTAAAATAGTAATAAGATATGGAATAGAATATAAAAATGAGCATGAACCTGAATTTGTGTCTGTACGAAGAAATGTAACCCAGGATTATGCTACTTTCAAAAAAGATGTTTTATTTGTATTTTTTTCTCTTTGCGAAAACTCAAATAAAATTTACACACACACACAAAAATTACAGACAGAAGAGTTTAGTAGTATGTAAATATAACATATCACAATATTTTTGTTATTTTTGCTGTTATTTAGTTAGCTTGAGAACTTACTAAGCTTGCAGAAATAAATGTATATTCCAATTAAACAAAATAAGTGTTGTTAACAAGATTTTTGTGGTTGTTTTGTCTTTAAAACAATTGAAGTTCTTTCATAATTAATGTTAATGTTAATAATAATGAATTAAAATAAATATTTTTACGTTCATGATAGTTTATAGTACTTATTACCTCATTTTCATTTTCTTTTTCTTTTTTTCCATTATGCCTTTCAGCTATACCAGGTGTTGTGTCTTCTGCCTTTTTAGCATTGTCTTTTAATTTGTCTTTATCGCTTTCCTTTTGCTTGATACTGTCAGGCATCATGATGGACTTCTGTTCTGACATTTCCTCCTTAGCTGTGTCTTCACAATGAGAATGTTTATGTTCTCTCAGTCTTATCTCTTCTTTTCTTTTGCCCTTCAAAGCAACATCCACTGTTTGATTTTGATATTTATCAGGCTTTTGCTTAGAGGATTTTCTATAACAATCTTCTTCTCTTCTTTTATATGGAGGCAAAAGGTAAGCTCCTTTTGCACTGGGTGAGCCTCCTCTTAAATATTTTTCTTTATGCCCTCGGGTTGCTTCAACATGCTCTTCCAAATCCAAGTGCCGTAAATAATGTTTTCTTTCATGAGTCCACATGTCACTCCGATCTCTTTTCTCTTCCACATTCTCTCTCCACAGCAGTAATTCTTTATCTTCCTCTCTCTGAGAATAAGGAAACTGATCCCTTGGCTCTCTTCCATTTCCCCACTCTGTTCTGTTTGTGCTTAATGGGCTACGGGGGGAACTACAGGAAGTAAAGCTTGGAGTCCGTGATCTTGGAGAAAGTGAACAGTTTATGGGGCTGCGGGAACGAGGCCTTTCCTGTCCATATCTACAGCACGGGGAAAGAGTGGCATGTTGCATATAAGCATAAATAAATCAGCTGCTACTTAAGGTTCATAGCTATTTTAAGTTTATCTTTTTTTTAGAAGAAGCATATGCATTTTAAATTGTCAATATTATTGAATATCATGCTTGCCTTAGAATAACAATATTTGCCATACAGTATGTATCAAATACTGTATATTTAATCATATACTGTATATTTAATCTTACAAGTGTAAGATGTTAATATGGTCAGGGGGGGAAAACTCAGTACTAGTACTAACAGTAATAATATAAATTAGGCTTATATAACTAAACAGCTCTGGTGGTGATATTAGATATTTAGTTAGGAAAAGGATATATAGATCTCTTATCTGAATCTATCCTGGTTCCTAAGGCAAGGATGGGATGGTCCCAAGACCTCTGATCATGAAGCAAAGCCATTTGCCCATCTCTGCCTCTCCAGGCTGCATCTCTCCCTTTCTGGCCATCACTATCCATGTCTTGGTTGCTGACATATTTATCCTTTGCAAAAGGCTGGCCAAGATCTTCGCTACTGGAGCATTTGCAAGAATAGCTCAGCTGTTCCACACTTTCCAAAGGAGGAAAGACATGGAGTGATCAAGTAGCTCTTCACAAGAAAAGTTAGAGAAAACTGGCTTCTTGCTTTATCCTACATGGATTGCTTTTATTAAATAGATATAAGCAATCCATTCAGTATAAAAGTGATATTTTTTAAAAAATAAAGTAAACAGTATTACATATCATTATTATTCAAATAGGAGTAAACTTCAAACTGTAAAGAATTGCTAGTCTGTCTTGCATGAATAGTTTTTTCTAAACTTTCTAGCTTGTTTCCAAATTATTTAGAAGGATCAGTAATATTTCACCCCTACTGAAATCACATTATTTTTCCATACATCATAAAAATAGAACAATATCAACTTTAAAAAATACCTGTCTGCTTCTCTCAACATATCTCTTTCTCTTTGAGAATGGATATTTTGGATTATTGCTGCCACATTCTTTCCTGGTTTCTAAGCAAAATAAACATGTAGCAACTGTAAATAAATGTATACTTCAACATTCTTAAAAATAAAGTCGGCTAGCCAGATGGCCTATCCTCATCATTGCATCCTTCATGAATTATTTCCAATTTTCATTGTAAACAATCAAATCAGTTATATCTTTCAGTTAATTCCTTGTTGAAGTGCACAGGTAGTCCTCAATTTACAACCACAGCTGAGAATGGAATTTCAATTACTAAGAGAGGTGGTTGTGAAGTGGAATGTTGCATGAGGGGCAGGACAAAGCGCTTCACATTATGAAGCCCAGCCTTAGCCTGGCCCAGTAGTGAGGCACAAAGGGGCTTCTTGGCATACCAGAGCTCTGGGGCTACAAGAAGCTTGAACTGCAGTGTGAAGCCCTTTGCAGCACAAAGCCCAATCTATTCCATAGTGAATCCCTCACTCCACAGAGCCACTGCAATAAACTGTACTGTAGAAATACAGTGGAACCTCGAGTTGTGACCGTAATCCATTCCAGGACTTTGGTCGCAATCCAATTTGGTCAATGACTGGAAGCACAACTGACTATGCATGCGTGGACAAAAAAAAAAAATGGCATGGAAGGGGAACAGCACAGCAAGGAAAATTGCCACAGCTGTGTTGGTTGCCACCCGAAGTTATGTTTGCGACCAGATGCAAAATCTTTCTGAATTTTTGGTCATCACCCGATTTGGTCATGGACAGAAGCGTTCACGACCTGAGGTTCCACTGTAGTCCTTTAAGAAAAAGCTCCAATTATAAAAAAAAAACATTTTAAAAAATAATTATTTTATAGGTTAGTAAGGAAACTTGGTTGGATGTGCAATCTGAATTTTAGGGAATATGTAATTGCATTTGCTTGGTCAATCACATAATCAGTCAAAGACCAAATCAAAAGGAACATTAAAAGAAGTCATGATTTACAAATTTTGTTTGCATCATTTGTTATATTTAAAAAATTAAACAGGAAATGAAAGACCCATCAGTGAACAATGCATATACATATCAATCGCTAGATGGCTGCAGAAAAAGAAGATAAATACTTAAATTTTATCTGTGAACCAAAATGAAGATCATTTCTGAGCAGTCAGATTAACAGAATGGCATGACAAACAATGATATTACCTTTAGTTGAAGTTCTTTGTATCTTTTAGACATTCTTATGAGTAACTTGTCATCATTTATCATTGCAGGTTTCTCTTTATAATATTCTACCATAGCCTGAGCTGCCTCAGTATAGGCCATCTCTAAAAAAGCCTGTGTTAATTAAAAAATTGTTTAGAGTTTAGTTATTTAGTACACAGAAGAAAAGTGCAAAAATTACAATAGTATATTAAGTTTATATTTTTAAAATGTAATTTTTCTAAATATAAATTGTTTCAACATGTTTATACACATATATACACATCTTTATACATACACATACATACATACACATACATACATACATACATACATACATACATACTGTACTTACAATATATACAGTACACATACACACACACACATTCATTTCCCCCTAATTATCCCCAATGGAATAATCTGGCATAATTTTAGTTGCAAAAAATTAAACGGAAATTAGTATCTTCAATTCTAGGTGAAAAGAAGCTATCATGATAGATCATCAGTTGCGGAAGGTAAATTGGGAGTTTGACATATTCTGCAATACCTGATTGGTAGATTTCATGAGAATATAATTAGTGACTTTTCCGAAGGGAAGTCCAAGGTTGATTACATCATTCTCTGTACAGCTTCCTTCAGGAAGGTTACAGATGTGTACTACACGACCTGGGACACATTTCATTTGTAGAACCTGAAATTATTAAAAATAAATTTAGAAACAGAAACAGAAACAGATGTAAAACAACCACCAGCTAAACATACAAGTTTGACATCACACTTCTTATCCTGCGCTTAATTTATACAGGGTTGATATTTTCAGAATCTCAAATATTTGTTCACAAGTCCATATAATTTCCCTTTTATTGTAGCCAAAGAGTCTGGTTAAAAATTAATTCTATCATGTAATTGTATATTGAAAAATTGCCTCTATATAAATAACACTTTTATGTAAGATATAGACTGCAAGAATACTTTGGAGAAATCTATAAATCCACAGTTCTGCTAATCACTATGCATATATCATCCATGTCTAAAAACACATCCCATTTCTCTAATACTCTAATAGATCACTGTCCCATCAATGTCTTAGTACATATTGCAATGATAAAAAAATAATAATGAAACATCAGGGACAAGTAGATAAATCACATGGTTTGCATCATGTTGTTGTGACTCATGTTTTCCCATTTGCTCACACTCTCCGGCCCTCATGGATAACTATGAATATTATAGATTTACTGGAAGAGCGACGATTGATATCTGTGCTGAAAAGGCAACACAGCTTCACACTTCATTAGTGTCTTACCCTTAGCCTTGAGTAGCAATTGAAATCTGAGACTAAGGAAAATGACTTGATCACATCTTTGCAACTGAAGAACATGAATTAAGATTCTGCCAGTTAACACTCTGGGGCTTGGTTCCTCTTAAAGGAAGGAATGCATCTGATGAGAAACAACAGAGTTTCCTGGTAAACACTTTTTAAAGAATCTGTATTCCTCCAAAAAAAAAAAAAAGAAGTTGGAAGTTTGGATTGTTGGCTTTTCTTTGTATTCTGTCAAATACTGGGTATCTACTTAATATCAGGACCGGGTATCTACTTAATATCAAAAAATCATTTATATAGTACAAGTACTGTCATTCTCTCTCATTTCTTGTTAATTTTATTCACTTTACCACAGCTTCATATAAAGAATTATTTTCTGTTAAATAGATTGTGGTGCTTAAAGAGATGCAATTTGAATTACACTTTCACTGTCATTTTGATAATTTTGGCCCAGCATAGAACACATCGACTGACTCAGTATGGCAGCTGAGATGTTCCATGTGATAGTTAAAGCTGTGTTTATTAATATTGGCTATAGGAACAGACTTCTGCAAGATGGCCTGTGCTTTATTTCCCCATCTGGTTTTATGTGAGTTAGGAAGATATCACCCTGAATTTTTGTATATGGCATTTTTTATTTTGGGTTTAAGTCATATTTTTTTCCTTGTTGCTTTGGTAAAGGATCTGGCTTATCTGTGTCGTGCAACCCAGTCTCCAGGAGCAATTTCAATATGGAACAGAAAGTAACTCCAGTGGAATCCCAGTCTTCAGGAAGGACTTGATAATTGGATATTTGGATAAAACTGCCAAATCCATTCTAAACATCTGGATTACTATAATGATCCCACTAGTTCTAGAAGAAAAAAGTCTATTGGAATGTCTGTCAGTGCATCTTCATTGAAAGACAGTGAAAATACACAAAAGTATACCATGGTAGCTTACTGAATATTGGAGAGACCAAACTGGTTTACAAGAAAGAACAAATGAAGAATAGAAAAGAGGGGACTTCCAGTTTGAGCTTCTTCGGCGACGGACTGAAATCCACGATCGTATGCAGTTTCGATCCGTGCTCGCCACTGGAGCACCCTGAGCCAGCTGGATTCGGGGCTAAGCCACCCCATAGAGGTGTTGAAGAGGGGGGAGACTGCCAGCAGGGTTGAGGAGAGCCGCATCTCTCCTCCCCAGCTGGTCATTAATCCCTTTCCCGAAGGCGGTTGCAGCGGTGGTCAGAAATGGCCACCTCAAAGAAGAGCTTGACCAGAAAAGAATGTGCAGGAGGAAGATAAGAAGAGAAAGTTTTGGTTGACCAGACTGAACTGAAAAAGTAATAATATAAAGTACCCTGGAATTTGAACTATTAAGAATAACATTGTTCCCAAAGAAGATTTTGAAGCGGAGAAGGAGAGAGGGAAGGGAAAGGATTTGGCTTTTTTTTCTTTCCTTCCTCATATTGACAGCTAAGAGATTTAAGTAAGAAACTGACAAAAATCCACTTTGACATCAATAGGCATTCAAGCTGAAAATAAAATGTTAAAGGGATAACAAAGACTTTCGGATATTCAAAAACCTTTAAAAGAAGGAAAGGAGAGAAAAGGAAAAAATAAAATGGCAGGATCTAGAAAAATGGAGGAGACTGCCTGGAAGCAAAAGGAATTTACAGCGAAACTTCAACAAGATTCCTAAAAGATACATTCTAACTGAAACTTTGTAACAAGATAATAGAACCCCAGGAAGAGAAAGTGGAAAAAAGAAGCAAGAAGAAACAGCTTTGGATTATTTGGATTACTTGGTGATTTTTGGATTTTTGGCTATTGGATCTAAAGGACTAAAATCAATTGGATGGTTGTTGGTGGTTCTTCTCTTGGAAGAACTGAAAATGGAACTTAAAAAACAGAAAGAAGATTGATAAGAAGGAAGAGGCTTTTTTGGCTTCGTATATCAATTTTTAGATATGGAAATCTGGAACAATGAGAAACAACAAGAAATGCTTGTAGAACAAGAAGGGCAGGACAAAGAAGAAGCCATCTTTAATGACCAAGTAATTTTAAGTGGGGAAAAAAAAGGAAAGAGGGGAAAGAGAATGAAAAGTTTAAGATTTGAAAAAACAACCCCCAAAAAGAACAGTTTGAAAAGTAATTACAATACTAGGAAGAAACAGAAGAGTGGATTACAGAAGAGAGAATTAGAATTAGAGAGACAAGGGGTCAAAAAGGAGAGGGGGAAGAAGGAAAGGAAAAGAAGTTATAAAGGACAGAAACAAGATATAGAGAAACAGGGAAAACGTACAAGGCTTAAAGGTATAAGCCTATTTAGAAGACATAAAGATAATGGGTGAAATATAATTGAAAGAGGGATTCTGCAAGGGTACATAAGATAGTATTGTTATATTCGAAATAGAAATAAACTTAGAAAATATGAAACAAGTGTGATTAAAATGATAAAATACTTACTGTAATGTAATGAAAGTTTGTTAATAAATGAGAGAGAATGAAATTGAAAGGATGGGAACATTTTAATTATTATTAATGATTTACAAAAACTTAAGTGAAGAGAAATATGAAAGAAATATGGGGAAAAATTATGGAAATATTATAAGTGTTCCTAAGGAAGTATCATATTCAATTGAAAAGAAATGTTAAGGATGTTAAAGACTGTAGCTGTTGAGGTAATTCCCCGTTAAGAGAATGAGCGCATACAGTGAGACGTATTTGAGAGAAGTGTTTGAATAATACACACATAGCACACAGACACATGTAAATGTAGGTTTTTTACTTTCAATAAAGTTTTTAGGCAAAGTTCAAAAACAAGCAGTCCAAAGTCATTCACAGATAAGATCAGTCAGTTTTCAGTCCAGGGATAATCCAATAACAAAGTCCACTATCAAAAACAGTTCAGTATCAGACTTACATTAAATCCATGAATATCAGTCAATTAGGAAGAACGGCAATACTCTCCAACAGAAGAAAAAAGAGACTCACTCACACTCTCTTCTGAGACTAAAACAACCCAGGTTTCTGGCTCCATCTTATGGCCGTTTGAGAAACCACACCCTATTACACCTCTAGGACTCTCTTAAAGATACAGTATTAAAATGTCTATCCTGGTTTATATATTTCCAACCCAAATACCTGTTAGGTGACTTATATTCTAACAGTAACTAACATTAATGATAGAGCTGAATTGGAATAGAATAAGTGTTTTATTTACTATTGTTATATATATATATATATATTCTCTTTAAGAACACAGTCTGTATTTTAAGAATGTACCAAGCAGAATTTGATTGGAAGTTATGTGTTACATTGAATGTTATAAATTGTAAAGGCATAAACTGAAGTTTAAATAAGAGTTGAATGGACAAAATTAAAAGATACAAAGGTGTCATACTCCAATTAGTAACTACAGGGGAAAATTTGTTTAATGAGAAAAGAAAATATGAAATTGAAATAGGACAGACAAAAGTATAAATATAATTATTAGAAAGACATTGAAACTTAGAAAAAGATATATAATTGAATTTAGATAGGTATGAGATAATTAAAAACAAAGTCAAGAAAACTAAGGGAGGGGAAAATTATGGAGAAAATGGTAAAATAGTAATAAGATATGGAATAGAACACAAAGACGAATATGAAATTGAGTTCGTGTCTGTATGGAGAAGTGATAACCCAGGATCATGCTATTCTCAAAAAAAGATGTTTTATTTGTATTATGTTTTGTGAAAACCCAAATAAAATTTATTTAAAAAAAAAAGAATAGAAGAGGGAAGAGGGAAGGCAAGACAAAGTGTTACATGACCAGTACTTAAAAAAAACTAGTAGGCAAAGCAAATAACAAGAACTGGCAATAGTTAAGAGCAGGAAAGAAAGACACAGAGGAACTAATTCTGATTGTACAAGACCAAGCCTTAAGAACAAATACATTCAAGGCCAGAATTGAAAAGATAGCAACTTGCAGTAAATGCCATCTTTGCAAAGAAGCTGAAGAAACAGTGGACCATCTAGTCGGCTGCTGCAAATAGAACAGACAGAACACAACTACAAACAATGGCATGACAAAGTAGCAACAATGATGTATTGGAAAATCTGAAGAAGTATAATTTGCCTGCAAGCAAGAACTAGTGGGATCAAAAACAGAATGGAAAATGAAAAGCTAAAGTGCTCTGGGACTTTAAAATACAAACAGACAAGCACCTGCCACATAACACTCCAGATTTAACAAGTATTGATAAGAAAGTCAAAGAATCTTGATATAGTGGACACTGCAATGCCTGGAGATAGCAGAAGAGAAAGAACTGGAGAAAACCACAAAATTCAAAGGCTGGTAAATAAAAGTAGAACAACTGTAGCAAAAGAAAGCAACCAATGTAATAGGCACCTTGGGTGCAATCCCAAAACATCTAGAGTACCACTTGAATGCCTTTGGCGTTGACAAAACCACCATCTGTCAATTGTAAAAGATAGCTTTACTTGGAACAGCTTGCATCCTGTGACAATATCTTTAACACCATCAAAGAACAACATCTGCCTATCTCAGGTCCTTGGAAAGGATTCCATAGATGGATAAAAAATTCGAATCCAGTCTAAACATGTGGCTGACTGTGCAATCAACCATAATAAAAATACTCACATTTCCACCAGGTGGTACGTAAGAGAACGTGGAACTTGACTGGCCAAATGAAGATGCCGAATTGTATGACTCAGCATTTAAAGGGTAATCTAAAGAAATGACACATTCCATGAAAATCTACCATTATATATATATTTTAAAAAAGCATTTCCTTAAAGATTTTGACAGGGTAAAATTATTTCAGTTATTCTTGACAGTAACTGCTCTAGTCTCTGTTTGTATCTCTTTATTTTGTGGATGTTTTATTGTTTTAATGTTTTTTAAATTGCTTTAATTATTTTTAGAATAATAAGCTAACCGTAGTTACTTGGCTGAGTTGGGCAGCTACAGAAATTGAATGAATGAATGAATGAATGAATGAATGAATGAATGAATGAATGATACAAATCTGAGGAATTTACAGAAAGGCTAAGCTAACTTATTACTTCAAGACATATCAAAATAATCAGGAAAGATAATTTGATCACAACAGTTATACTATATTACCTCTTTTTTCATTTTACCAATATACTTGTATTCTTAAATATTCTGGGGGAGAAAAACATTGTATACTTCTATTCTTGGGGAAAAAAATAAAAGCTTCAAACATGCACATTAATTTACACTCCTTAAATATTCAGTGTGCCCTTATATCAACTGTATTCCAACTAACTGTATGTATGTATGTATGCATGCATGCATGCACTCAATGATTTACCTTCAGTACCAGGCAGATTGAACACAGTTTTATTATTTGGAGAGGAAGAATGCAATACCCCTGCTGCTGCTGAATGCAACATACAACGAATGTCAGTGCTAAAGAAAGAAACAAAAGTTGAAATATAGATGTAGAATAAAAATACATGGGTTAGATCTTAATGAGTTAGTTACTACATATGTTATACTGAAGAAATACAATAATAATACCACACCAGTAACAGAAATTATGAAATTATCCTAAACATTAAACTTAATTTTAAGTTAGTACTTTGGCTATTTTTGGAATCTTTTAAAAATTTCAACCAATAAATAACCAGGGAAAAGAGCTGGAAAATACAAAATAAATGCTTAGAGTTATATTAAAATACACCGGTAGATAAAACTAAAGCATAAACTGAATTCAGATACAAGAAAATTGTATCTGAATTCAATGAACATTCCTTCTGCTTTTGTTAAGAACAGTGTACGTAGACTGTTCACAAAAATATCTGTAGTAGAACATCTGCAGTATGTCCTGCTCCCGAAATCACCAGATGTAAGACCTTTTATGAGGTTGGGCCATAGGAAGAGGTATGGTTTGCTACTCACTTATCTTCCACTATGGAGTGTTGCAGCATGCCTGTGTTCACTCTTGGATTCTTTCCATCAAAAGTGATTCTTTGAAGGAGGCAGCGTTGTGCCCCTTTTCTCAAGAGGCCATGTTTGGACTCAACAGTGTTAAATAACTTTCACTCAGTCTTCAACCTTTCCTTTTTTAGGGAAGGCTACTGAGGGGGTTGGTACACAACTACAGTGGGCCCTGGATGAGGCAGATTATCTAGAATTTTTTTCAATCTGGTTCCAGGCCAGGGCAAAGAACTGAAACAGCATTGATTGTGCTTGTTGATGACTTTTGGATGGCTTGGGATGGAGGAGGTGTTAGGAATATAACCGAACAGCTATATAAACCAGAATACACATTTTAAAACTGTATCTTTAAGAAAATGAAAAAATGGTAATTGGGTGTGGTTTTTCAAACTGCCATAAGATGGAGCCAGAAACCTGGGTTGTTTTAGTCTTAGTCTCAGAAGAGAGTGTGAGTGATATTCTGTTTTCTTCTGTTGGAGAATATTGCCATTTTTCCTAATTGACTGATATTCCTGGACTGGATGTAAGTCTGATACTGAACTGTTTTTGACACTGGACTTTGTTATTGGATTATCCCTGGATTGAAAACTGACTGATTTAACCTGTGAATGACTTTGGACTGTGTTTTGAACTTTGCTTAAACCTTTATTGAATGTAAAAAACCTATATTTACTGTACAGTGTATTTGTGTGCTGTGTGTGTATTATTCAAATACTACTCTCAAATACGTCTCCCTGTATGCATTCATTCTCCTAATGGGGAATTACCTCAACAGAAGGTATAACCATTCTGGGTTCAAGCTTTTCACCTCTCCTGTTTAACAGCTACACAAAATGATTAGGAGAGATCATCTGTCAATGTGGAGCCCAGTTTAGGCAAATAGAAATCTCACTTTCAAAGCTACATCTTAATGTTACATTTGTCATGTATTGTCAGTCACAATGATATATTTTTTTCTTTTTCCTTTGAAAAAAATATATTTCTTATATTGTTTTCTGAGCATGGGTAAGTATGTATGTATAAAGATATATAGTCATACATTACATATAATATAAGAGACTAAAGATGACTGAAATAATGAGAAGCACTGACATATATATTTCAACTACTCACTTCTCTGAGAAAGCCAAGCAATTCTGAATATGAAGATTTCCTTTAATGTGCTGATCCCAGTCCTCAATTAAAAAAGAAGAAAGATAGAATGAAATACCAGAAAAGATACATCTTGTGTGCTATATCCATAGTAGTTGTCATTTTTAATGAAAAATTTCTGTAGCATTTATCAAGTTATGATAAAAGAAAAGATGTTATAGAAAAATAGGGTAGCCAAAATGAAGACCTTAAATCATTCATTCAGTCAAGTAGGTTCAAAAGTCATTTAATCCCATTAACCTGTACAATTCAGTGATGCTGCTATGGATAAGAAAACATTTCTAATTTATGTTAATCCCATCCTTATTGGTTTGTCCTTATTTTCTGTAAGGAAAGGGTTCAGAGCTTCCCAAACAGGGAGGTACCTCTATACGGGGCTGAAGCTAATCTCCACTTAGTTTTGGCATCCACCTGCCATTGGCAAAGCCATAGTAAATGGCGTGAGGTGATGTTGGAAGCAAGAGCCCTGGAGGAAAACCGGGCAGCATGTAGGCAGGAGTCAGCCGAAAACTCGGCAGCTCCACCAGCTTGTTGTTCTGGTGTATTCGGGTCTCCTCTGGAAGGGGTCTCACCTGCAATTGCTTTAGCCAAAGCAAGGAAGTCCTGGAAAAAAAGGAGGTGGCAGTGGCTGCCTTTACTGCCCAGGCATTAGCTAGGTAGGTTCGGTGGAAATTTAATTCCGCCTTCTATCCTCTGCCTTCAGAGCTTCTGCAATGTCTCCAGAAATCACTGAGAAGGATAGATGGCTAGAGGATCATCTATTAAGGGCAGCTCTGGGGCTTCCAATAAGCTGGAAGCCATATTGAAAAATCTTTTGTCATTCCCTCCTGAGTTAGGAAAGGTGCCAGGCTGGCTCCACTGTCTTTGAACCACATCCAAAAAAAGTTTGGGGCAGGGGATGTCCTCCTGCATTATAGGGTCGGAAAACACAATATTATTTGGCCCTTGTGGCTCCAATGGTACCACAGATGCATTGGGTGTGGTTCCTATTTGGGCCGTAGCTCTGGCCTTGTGAAGGAGTGATTTAAATAATGCTGGACAGTGAAAGGGGGAGGGTCAGGACAGAGGTCTTGATCATCATCTGAGAACCCCTGTTCCTTCTGGTAGTCATCCTCCATTACTGACGCCCTACTACTGGAATGGGCTGGAGATACGGACCCTTGCCCCCACCCCATTTCCACTGGGAGCTGAAAGTGGTGGGACAGCTGTTGAGGAGGTTCAGATGTTACAGAGGCCGAGCATCCTCTGAGCTGTAGGGTAGAGGCCACCCCATGAGAAATTCCCTGTGAGATGAAGGATTTAAATTCCTCAGACAGGCCAGATCCCTGCCTGTCTACTGGGTGGAGCCATGCCGCAGTGGGGGTAAAGGTAGCCTCTGGGGCAAATTCCCTTTCCCTAACCTGAGGTTCAGCCAAGTCTATTGCCATGTAGGCAAAGGGAAATTGCTCAACCTCCTCCTGAATGTCTGTAAGGGAAAAAGGCAACTGTTCACTCTTGCTCTCTAGTGACCAGTTCATAGGAACTGCAATGTTGGACTGCATAGTTTGCTGAGGACGGGAGATGGCAGTTGCTGTCTGAGGAAGGAAAGAGATACTTTCCTGCTCTGCTTTCTTCTCAGTTCTGGAGATCTGCTTCTCCAGAACCTTCTGTCTTCTGCAGGCATCCTTCTCTTCTGCCTTAAAAGACTTCCTAGAGTAGATGGCTTTTGCTTTAATCTTTTCAGCTGCATCCTGGCTAGCTGACGTAGCTCTTCTGGAGCTGGTTTTCCTAGGCTGAGCCAAAATTGAAGCTCCCTGGTCTACCATGCTGTCTGCTGACAGGAACTGTTCAACCATTTTGACAGCTTTCTTCAGCAGAGCACTGCAGCCATGCTCTGCTTAACAATGGCTGCTGGGGAGAAACCGAGCTGTGGTGGCAAGACCTGCTTATTGGGGCAGCCAGCACACACACTCATGCCTGTGCCATCTAAATCTGCAGTCTAAAAGCATTGATAAGCTCAGATGAAGTCTTGCTATCTTTGCTAGAGCAGCCATTGCCTTTAAACTGAAGCCACTAAGCTGCGATGTTAAATTAAGCCCCTTGACAGCTGAAAATCAGCTATAAAGCGGCAGCAGTTGTTGGCGGGAAGAGCCTCGCTGTCAGTTGCAAGGGTCTGGCTGCTAAATGAGTGAAGGGCTTCTGTATTGGCAAAGCTGAATGAGCTGAAGCCACGGTAGCACTCTGACAGCGCTACAATTTCACCCTGTCAGCCCCTTTCAGTAAACTGCTGGATTAAACGAAAACGGCTTCTGCGTCAGCAAAGCCTAGTGAGATGAAGCCGTGGTAGCACTCTGACAGCGCTACGATTTCACCCTGTCAGCCCCTTTCAGTAAACTGCTGGATTAAATGAAAATGGCTTCTGCGTCAGCAAAGCCAAGCGAGCTGAAGCCGCAGTAGCACTCTGACAGCGCTACGATGTCGAACCTGATAGTACTTTTCATCGAATGAAGAATCCAAGCGTTTCTGCCTAAATGTTGAGAGCCAATCTTTTGCCACATCCCTATCAGGCCATACTGAGTCATAAACTGGGAAAGTGACAGTTGACAGAGTGGCGTGATAAAAGATTAAGGACTCGTTCTGGGCAGAAAGGCATGTGTCAACCAATGTGTGGATTCTCCAATTGACGTGCTGGAGAAATGTCACTGGACACATGTGAACAAAATTTTTCTAGACTCCTTTATGGAATGGGATTCTTGATTTGGGGAGGAATATAAATTTGAGTGTTTGTTTGCAGAGAGTTCTGAACATTACCAATGTAAAATTGTCTTTATCATTTGCAATGTTATGGATTGAATATTAAAGTTACTTATCAATGATGTAGAACAAATTTTATCTAGTGATAATTATTCTACCCAAATTTAAATTATCTAGGCAATTCTAATGATATTTTATCATTTTATTTACAAATGTTAGTAAGACATCATACATATGCATGTAGAATAGAATCAGAAACTATTAACTATAATAGTAATTACAATAGTACCATGGCAAGATAAAGAGCAGCAAACCTTGTGATTTTGAATATAAATTTATTTTATCATTTTTAAAATTAAAGATACATATATCCTGTCAGAAAAAAATATGATGCAGTGATTTTATTGATAAAGCAACCCAGATATGATACTGTAGTTCTTAAGCAATGAAACACTATCTGGAAAGAGACAATTTACTAAGAAGGACCAAAACTGAAACAAACTTACCTTAAGGTCAAATACCTTCTTACTGCATAAGGTACAAATGTGAGGGAAGGAAAGAGGTGCAATACTATGAAAGTCATTTAATTCATGGGACTGAAGAGGCCTCACTGGCAATCCAGAAGTAACAGGTTCTTGTTTCTGTCTTGTTTGTGAGTTACTATAATTTTGTTTACCATTTTTAGTTCTGCTGAAAAAACACAGAGCACCAGTGCTAAATTTTGTATCTGGTGTTGGTTCCTCAGGGTTATAGAGATCACTCCTTACTTCGTATGGGACATTTGTTGATGGCCACACATTGGCATTGGGCATAATGTCAGTTTTATTTTGGCTAGAGAAAGTAGAAGGATTTTCCCATTGATTGCTTGTATCTCTTTCATGTACTATAGAACCCATCTTTCCTTTTTGATTCTGATGAGAATTTTGAGAGTCAGCAGCAAACGTCAAAGACTGTGTACAGGTTGTGTGCTGGCCTTTAGAAACAGCTTCATAAAATTCTTTCTGATATCCCAGTTGGCCTTCAGACATTTCATTTCCAGATGACACTGGGACTGGATGAGAACCACTGGTTACAAAGCTCTGTTGACAGCATTGACTAGCATCAGAGGGGAAAAGCTGTTTATTGTAATCATAAAATCCACCTGCGGTAGAGGAGGCACTAGTTTTATTTAGATTCATAGATACAGCTTGTTGTCCAGCTGTTTGAGAAATTACACCCCCAAAAGGGTTTAGGACTACAGTACTGATGTTTTGATTTGGAAGGTTACTTACTGACCCCAGGGTTCCACCATGGGCTGCCAAAGGTGGGTTCTGTGTTGGAAAATTTATCCCACCAGGTGGAAATCTAGTATTGGTGGCCCCAAGACCTCCAGCATGTCCTGGAAGGGTATTAAACATAGAAGGGTGTCTTAATTGGTTGAAAAGTGGCTGAGACATGGCCACTTTAGAAAGAACCTGGTTCAGGACAGTTGCAGCTGCTGTGTTGTTGTTGACTGCTGTCTGAGCCAATTTTAGTCTATGTAGCGTAAGCTGTGCCTGAAGCTGAGCCAACTGAAGACTTGCAGAAGAAGGAAGCAGTGGATTTGCGGTGTTGACAGTAAATATATTCTTGTCCAGAAGTTTGGCAGCACTGTAAAGTAATAGGCAATAATTTTAATTCATTTTTAATCAATGTCAACTGTTGGCAATTTTTACCAAATTATGACTAAGAGGTACGATATTATTCCTGGCATCCTTATTAAATCCTTGGAAGTGAAGAAAGTAATTGATGATATGTAATTGTCATTCTTATAAAGTATTTGACACCAGTCATTTCATTTATGAAGACGAATGACAGATCAAAAAGAAGCTTGCAAGCCAAAGTACTATGAGAGGTGTAGCTAAAGAATAATAAATCTACTGGATTTAGTCAAATATGTTCTACTGAATATTCTTTGTGAATCATAAAAATGAAAAAATTATTTTCTAGTACAGAAAATGGAGTGACATTCAATCATGGTTGTCATTATCATTTTTTTTTTATAAAACTATAAATCCATATAAGGCATGCATTGCAGTTAAGGGACTTTGTTAATGACTAAACTGAAGCTCAAATTGCATTGTTAAATATTCGATTTTTCAGTATTTGAAGAGCTGTCTCACAAATAATTTTCATTGCATACAATGTTTCTATGTAAGTTCATCAGGGTTGTGGCACTATAAACATTTCTTTTTATATTGGTACTTTTGAGTTCTAATCTACAGAACAATTCTAATGCTTTGGAGGTTATTTCAATTGTGTTAGACTAGGCAGAAGCTGGGACAGTCCTCTGTCAAGGACCTTGGAGTACTCATCCCTAATGATCTAAGTGCTAGAGCCCACTGTAACTACATAGCCAAAAAGGCATTAAGAGTTGTTAACCTAATCCTACGTAGCTTTTTCTCTGGTAATATCATACTACTAACTAGAGCATACAAACATTTGCTAGACCTATACTTAAATACAGCTCATCAGTCTGGAACCCATATCATATATCTGATATTAACACAGTTGAGAAAGTCCAGAAATATTTCACAAGAAGAGTTCTCCGCTCCTCTACTCATTTCAGACTTGAAACTCTAGACCTAGAAAACCTAGAACTACACCGCCTTCGGTCCAATCTAAATATATTATATAAAATCATGCACTGCAATGTCCTACCTGTAGATGAATACTTCAGCTTCAACCAAAACAATACAAGACCACACAATAGACACAAACTCAAGGTTAACCTCACCAAATTTGATTATAGGAAATAGGACTTCAGCAACAGAGTGGTCAATGTCTGGAATACTCTGTGATTTCTTCCCCAAACCCCCAAAACTTTAACCTTAGACTGTCTACTATTGACCTCACCTCTTTCCTAAGAGGTCTGTAGGGGGGTGTTCATAAGTGCACCAATCATGCCTACCGTCCCTGTCCTATTGTTTCTTTTTATTTTTGTTATACATATCCATCTCATGTATTCATAACTATGTTTATACTTATACCTGTTATCTTGTAAGTGACTGACAAATCAAATAAATAAAATAAAATAAACAGTAGGCACAATCAATTTCAAAAGTCCAAATATATCTTCACAAAAAGTTTGAAAGCACAATTATATTGCCAATGGTGACCAGCAAAAGGGTGATATGGAGTCATTCTTTTTCTATTTAATAATATAAGTTTGACATCATCTGACATTTGGAAGCAAAAAAAGTAATAGACAGGTAATTATCAACATATGAATTATTTGGGACATAAAGTGAAAGATTTACTTTTTCTCACTCCACTAGGATGGAGGGGAGGGGAATAAAAAAATATTTAGTTAAAATTAGTTAAGTTCTCTTCCCAACATAGACCTTCAGCCCTGGCTCATGCAAAGGGCTAAGACACTTACTTGCTACTTTAGAGATGTAGGATAAAGAGTAAAAATCTTTATAAAGTTCTCATTCTGTTTATATATTCAATTCATTTTACCTAGTTGTACAGCTCCGGGGGAGGGGTCTCAAAACCTACCTTTTATTTTTTATAAATTTAATAAAATTAATCAACTATGAATAATAGATCATATGGGGAAATGCATGTTTGTTCTCATTGCTTTTATACTTTTATTTCCTTTCTATCTTTTTACATTAAATAAATATAAATAAAGTACAATTTGCCCACAAAGCAGAAATAGTATTATTCTTGTAAGTAAATAAGCACACTCATGCCTCATTATGTGCAGTACTATGAAAGATGTATTGTGTATCTGCCAGTAGCTCCAGTATCCCTTGGTAGCTTCCCTTGTACCACACAAAATTAAACCAATGATGTGGAAGCGCTTTCTAATCCCTAAGCGCATTGTTTTAAAATATAAAGTTCCATTAGAGGTGTAATATGAAGGATTCAGTTGGTAGACAAAGCACAAAGAAAGTATGCTTGCCAATTTAGCAGAAAGTCTTGGATTGTTTGATGCTCTATAGTACTTATTCAGTTAGAAAAGGAGAGGAAGATGTTTTTCTTTTACATTTAATTACAGTACCTAGAGAAAAGGGTTTTAGGTTTTTTGTTGTTGTTTGTTGTTTGTCTTTTTGCTCTCTATCTGGCATGTATTTTTCTTTTTTATCCTTTTATTTTTTTAGTTTCTATTAGTTCTTATCCTTACATTGTAGTGTTCAATAAAATTACCACAAAAATAATCTGCTAATTCAATGCCAAAATCAACAGCAAATTATGTGCTTAAAAAAAACTCCACTATCTTCCTAGAAACAAATCATCTTTGAATTACATTTCTAGAATGATTTCCAAATTGCAGAATAGTAAATCTGTTTGCAACCTAGTTCGTTATAAAGAGAGAAACAAGAAAAAAAAAACCATCCATTTAACAGAGTACAAATTTGTGATCAGAAACTCTTAATAAGGTATTAGTGCCTTATACTCTGGATACTTATCAAATACTTTAAAAAATGAAAAGCTACAGTCTTTGTACATTGTATAATGTAACGAGGTGCATTTATAGTGTTTCTAATTATCTCAAAAAAAAAAGGAAATTCCTACATACAATGTAGCATAGAAATTAAGCTTTTCATTAAATGCAATTCCCTATCTTTATTAGAAGGTCGGTCACATTCTGAAAACAATAACAACCTTATATGGAAAGGCAGACCATATAATAATTGCACAATCAGGATTAGGAGATGATGGTAGTTAATACTGCACAAACTTCTAGTATACAAATAGTGGGGTGGGGAGAGAGAGAGAGAACCAACATTTTAAAAATGTGTGTGTGTGTGTGTGTGTATGTATATATGTATGTATGTATATATGTATATATATATTTGTTTTCTGAGGTTCTCGTGGGTATTTGTATGTGGATCTTTGGTTATTCGGGTTTTCTCCCGCGTAAGATTGGAAGTATCTAGGCAACGTTTTGATGAAGTCTCATTCATCATCTTCAGGCTTGTGCCTTCGGCTCTGTGCTTCATCAAAACGTTGCCTAGATACTTCCAATCTTACGCGGGAGAAAACCTGAATAACCAAAGATAGATAGATAGATAGATATATGTATATATGTATGTATATATATATATATATATATATGTGGATCTTTGGTTGTTCGGGTTTTCTCCCGCGTAAGATTCAAAGTATCTAGGCAACGTTTCGATGAAGTCTCATTCATCATCTTCAGGCTTCTGTCTCCGGCTCTGTGCTTTTCAGAGTAATGTGAGATTGCAGCTGCTTCCTCCTTTTAACTGCCAGTGGGGGTGGGACTTGATTGGGTGGGGGCTTGGCTGTGTTCTGATTGGGTGGGGGTGTGTTCTCATTGGTAGGGGGTTTGGTTGTGTTCTGATTGGTTGGGGGGTTAGCCGTGTTCTGATATATGTTATTTATAGGAATGATTTTTAAAAGCATGAATATTTCTTGGTTAATTTCACTGTTCTAAAAAATAGGACCATTATCCAAACATATACAAATATATTATTAGTGTAACTTGCTAATAACATTAATATTAATCAGTATGCTTTGTTCATATATAACAGAAATGCAAATGCATAAAATCAATATTCTCTGAGGATTTTCAACAATTATATAATCAGTCAAACAATCTGAGTAATACAAAATAACTTTGAATATAATTGATGAGATTTTCAAGCAGTTCATTTCCTAAATGTAAATTATGAACTAAAATAATAAACTCATGTCTCCCAGGTTCTAGCCTGATGCCGTAACCAGTACACCACACTCTTGTATTATAAATAATATAGGAATCTATTGTAAGTGGAAAATAAGCTTTCCAACAGATAGGAAGCAGCAGGTGAAGCTAGGCAAAATCACATCAGATACCTGTACAATTAGCACAGGTGCCCCCCAGGGCTGTGTGTTCTCTCCATTACTCTTTTGTCTCTATACCAACGACTGCATCTCAAAGGATACCTCTGTTAAAGGATTGAAGGTTGCAGATGATACAACAATGATTGGTCTCATTCGAGAAGATGGCAAATCTGCATACAAACAGGAAATTTTACAATTAGCCCTGTGATGCGGCTGGAACACTCTTGAACTGAACACACTCAAAACTATAGAGATAATATAGTAGATTTTAGGAGAAGCCCTCCTATTCTACCACCTGTTACAATAGTGGTCAACACAGTTAACAATAGTAGAAACCCTCAAGTTTCTAGGTTTTATAATATCTCAAGACTTAAAATGGATACTTACTTACATCCATTCTGTCATCAAAAAAGCACAACAAAAATGTTCTTTCTGTGCCAACTCAGAAAGCTTAGGCTGCCAAGAAGCTGCTGATACAGTTCTACAAAGGAATTATTGAGTCTGTCATTTGCACCTCGATAACTATCTGGTTTGGCACAGCAACCAAACAAGGCAGACGCACAGTTCCACAGATAGTTAGGACTGCAGAAAAAATAACTGCAGCCAGCCTGCCTTCCATTGAGGACCTGTATACTGCACAAGCCTTAGACCCCTCACATTCTGGATATAAACTGTTTCAACTTCTTCCTTCAAGATGACGCTATACAGCATTGCATGCCAAAACAATTAAACACAAAGACAGGGTTTCCCCCCTCCTCCCCATGCTATCACTCTGCTAAACAACTAATTCCCACAATACTGTCTTATGCCCT